TAGTTTGAGTCTATCATTCACGATATCTTTTAATAGACTTGGATATTTAAATCTCTTTCATGGTGGGTTACACTATTTTGAAAAAAGAAAATATCCCTAATATTTGAGGACCCATCCAATATCCCTAAGGTAAAATATCCCTAATAAAGTAATAATATCAACTTTAAAACTCATTCAATCATTTCCTTAAAAATATCAAAATCAGATAAGTCTTTCTCGGAGGAAATGGCAAAGACTTTGGATGGAGAGACCACAGAGAAAAGGGCATACAAAAACCCACGAAAGAGTCATGTAAAACCTAAGAAAAAGCATTTCCATGTGGAAATAACTATTGAAAAAACTCCATGTAATGGATATTGGATTGAGATTGAATGATCACAAATTAAGATATTCAAGGCTATTTAGAAGATTTATTGCAAATCCGAGATAAAACCGATTCCAAAAATAAATCAAGCAATAAAAAAAAGAGGCCGAGTATGCTCACTTGAGTTTCAAATGAGGATGGATTGATGGCTAGATTCGCTGAAGAAAATCCTCTGAGAAAGGTCTTAAGGACCATGGTATTTTGGTCGTGAGAGAGAAAATTCCCCAAATGAGCACTTCCCTCCCCCCTTTCTCTATCGAAATTCATTTCCTTTCCTCGATGGTATACTATGAGAGCATTATTTTTTGGTACAAAGAGGTCACAATTATTTTTAGATATTGGATGTGAAATCCAATAGATAAAATTAGACATTGAATGTGAAATCTAATAGATAAAATTGTATCACAAGATTCAAAAAAAATTTATTTTGGACTTTTTGTCCAAATAATGATACATCCTTAACTGCCTAATTTCAAATTTAACGATCAATGATGATTATGACCTCCTTGTATCAAAAGTAAAAAGGTCTCAGTGTACACATTTTTTTTCAAATTGAATACTATGAAACCATTTATCTTTGTTACAAAGAAGTCACGATTGCTACTAACTATTATATGTCAAAATAGATGGTTTGCAGTGTCACAAAACTTGAAATTTTTTTGGTTGAACTTTGAGTCTTGTTAATTACACACTCACAACCACCCGATTTGACATCTGAAGAGAATGATTTTGACATCTTTGTATTGTATGAAAAAAAAATGAAAATAGTTTGATAGGAATGCAACCATATCAAAATAAGTAAAGCCTTACTTCGTAGCTCATTGAAAATTGCGATTCAAGGATTGAAAAATATTCATATTAATCATTTCGGCTTGAACATTATGGTCGTAAAAAAAAAAGTATTTCAAGCTCTAAAAATAGTGTATATTGCAACAAATTATCTATATCGTTCATTCCGTGCTAAAAATAAGTGTTCACAAGATCTGTACTATTTTTTGAGTTTCAAATTTTATTGTAGGTATTGGAAATTGATTTAGAGCCATCATAAGGATTTTTGTTCGCCAAGATCTGTACTATTTTTTGAGTTTCAAATTTTATTATGGGTATTGAAAATTGATTTAGAGCCATCATCGATATTTTTGTTACGCAAACTGCTTTTCGTACAACGATTAAGGTAAACCATATGCCTTATAGAAAGTTCATCCAAAATGAATAAATGGTCTCTTTGTGCACTTTTTTTTAATTGAATATGACAATAATAATCCTCAATGATTTAAAAAGTACCAAATAAAATGTTATTAAAAAACAATACTATTGGTAAAATAAAGGGTATATCAAGTAAGGAGAAAGTTTATACAAGGTTACAACCTACGGATGTACCTCGAAACTCCATCGGAGAATGAAGTTTTAATGTTGAAAAACCTGATCACCTCCAATGATGTATGACCATGAAAAATAAAAGGATTTGAAGTGGCAGAAATATGCACCCGTATGTCAACTGTAGCCAACAAGTAAAGCTGTGTGTTGAACTTTACCAGACTCAGACTTTGCTTTTCGTCCTGGTAGCGCATTTGTGGGTGACTAATCTACCAGCCTTATTCGAGCCAAGTGAGTACATGAATCTTGGGTGACTAATTTACCAGCCTTATTCGAGCCAAGTGAGCACATGAATCTTTGATCATGCCTTCCTATTTGTTGAAAAAGTTTATGACTATCTTGTCGAAAATTAAGAAGAAACCCGTGTCTGATGCACCTGGCAGTGTGCCCACTGATACCAATGACAAAGAGCGATGGTCTAGGCCAGAACAAGGAGAAGATCGTGAGGGAGTTTGGATTAATGGACACGGGAGGGTCTTTGTATCAAATAAAGAAATTGCCAAGGGAAGCAATGGCACAATCGTTTTTGAGGGTTTGTATGAGGGTCGTAGAGTGGCTGTAAAGCGAGTTTTACAGTCATATTATTTTACTGCTGATAAAGAGATAGATTTGCTTACTCACTCGGATAGAAATTCCAACATTGTACGACTATACTCTGTGGTGCGCGATCAGCATTTTATCTATCTTTTACTAGAGCGTTGCTTTTGCAACCTTGCTGAGTTGATCCAAAAACACTCCCAATTGACTGACTATGATGCTGCTGTTTTCACCAATCGGAGGCCCAACCAACAAAAATTCGAACTTTGGAGAAATGGAAGTCCATCTACTGTGTTGGAGAATCTAATGAGGTCAAATTTCTAGATTGCATATTATTTTTTTTTCTGATTTTGTTTGTTTAAATGGAAAATTTTTAAGTATATTTGTAATAAATCTAATGAGGTCAGATTTTGAACTCGATTGCATATTAATTTTTTTTCTATTTTTTTTGTTTAAAATTTTAAGTATGCTTGTAATGCTGTATTTATGCATGGAAATCTCTTCCCCATGCCTATGGGCGAAAGTGAGCAGTATTTCACCTACCCTCATCACCATCCAAATTTGATCGCAGGGTCACAGTTGCCCGGTAGTGTTTCAATTTTCTTTTTTTTATACAAATCCAAATTACTTGAAATTTGGAGTGTGCGTACATCTTAGTGAGGCGCATCTAATAAAAATATAAAAAAAATAATTCGTAAAAATATAAATTGACCAAAATACCCACAATATTAGGTGCGCTTCACTAAGATGTGCACACGCTCCAAATTTTAGATCATTCCGATTAGTAAAAAGAAAATGAAAATTGAAATACTATGGGACAACTGTGACTTTACGGTGAAGTTTGGATGGTGATGAGGCTAGGCGAAATCACTGTTCATTTCGTTTATAGGCGTTTTGTAGCATCTTTCTTTATGTATTTATGTGTGCTCACTTATGTTGGAGTCCAGGACCCTGGTTCAAGGAAGCCATATCGACACAATTAGACTCAAATGGTTAACTTTTGCAATTACTTATTGGATAGCAATTGAAATCTCTTTCAATTAAGGAATACAATTTTATTTCTACTGGTTTTGCGACTTTCTATTGGTCTAGTCCTTTAAATTCAGCGTTCTTAGTAACTAATTAGAGAAGAGGATGTCTAATGGAACTCAACTTGTCAGTAGTAGAGAGAAGAGATATGAGAATCCCATGTGTTATAGGATTTCTTAATAGGGATAAGGTTGACTTAAAGTAACATTATCCATAAGAGGCAAGATAATTCCTTTTTAGATAAGATTCCCTCACGGGATATTTTCTATAAAAGGTGTTAAAGAAAGAAAAACGTGAAGAGATTTTCACATGGGGATGTACACATCTCTCTAACAAGGTTTCTCTCTCTACAACCAAAAGTTCCCCTCTTTGTCTCTCTTCTAATTTTCTCTTTCTAGAAGCCCTGGAATGAAAAATCGTAGGTGATCCAAGAGCTCTCGAGCCTTCCATCAAAGGCTTCAGATTTGTGTTGTGCATACAATACTGCTGATTCTAGTAATCAGTTGTCGGCCTTGGGATGCGAGCATCAAACTCTCGAATTAGAGGACACGCGCACAAAAAAAATAGGAGGAACACATCAATCCCACGGGATGAATCAAATCTAGAAAAAAATATGTGATTTTTATCTGATATCTTTGTTCTTGGTGTTTCCGCTGCTTTCGTGATTCCCTTTGGAATCCCTACATTGGTATCAGAACCGTTACAATAGAAATCCACCTCAGATTTGAATATGTTTTGGTAGAAATCTGCCTTTAGATCTGATAACCGGCGTAGTTGTTGCATGAAAATGCAAAAATGATTTTTCTTTTTTCTTTTTTTCCCTTTTCGTGCTTTTTTTTTTGGGGTTTTTCAAACGTTTGGTTGCCTTTGTGGGGTTAGATCTGGTTTGAGAATATGCAGCTCACCTAGAGCTTCCATCCCATCAGCTCTACAATCAGAGGTCCTACCATCAAATACAATCTTCTAACCTCATGCCACACTTTTACATGCCCTTGGAACCATCATGGCCCTCGGAGAGTCAACTTGCAACAACACTAGCCAAGGATGTCTTAGATCTAGGCTTAGTGGAACTAGGAGGAGAGATATATGATGGCTTCCACTCGGACATTTTATCTCTAGTGCAACCTAATGCTAATGAACTTCAAAGAATGAAGAGAGTAGAGCCACATATGGATGATGTGCTACGTAGCATGAGTCCATATATGAACAATCGCAAACTAGCCTAACCTAACCTAGAAAACAAAGTATGATAAGAACTACACCTCCAATGCACAACCAGCCTACTCCGCTTACATTGATGAACCAAACCCAGACCCTCAGAGAAGATCTAGAAGAAGATTAGTCAAACCGACAATCCTCCCTGGAAACTTTCGGGGGCAAAAAGGGTCCTTTCTTGAGACCATCCACTCCTTCAACACTCTTGAGGAATCCAGACCTCTATTCCCTGCAGAAAGAAATCAACGCCTAGAAGCGAAGCTTTCACTACAATCTGTGCTTTTTGCAGGAGGAGATCTATTGAGCGCAACAGTCTAGGGTTAAGTGGCTAAAACTTGGCGACCATAACACTGCCTTCTTCCACAAAATAGCTATCTCCCTCATCAAAATTGGTAACCAGTATCTCGAGGAGAAGGCGCTCATTGAACATGGGATAATCGACTTTTTCAAGAACCTCTTCATGGCTCCAGTTGGCCCCAGGCCAAAAATGTCCTCCCTGTCCTTCAGAACTCTACTCCCTGAGAAAGCTGAATGCCTCGAGCGCCTTTTTGCCGAAAAGGAAATCTTCAAGGCAAACCCGACCTTAGTCATCTTTGGGACCAAAACCAAACACTTCCTCAAATCAACAGCATAAAGTGTTTGCTTTACGACCATGGTCCTCCCATTCTTCATTTCAAGTACATAATCCCCAACGCCCAACACTTCGCTCTTTTGGTTCCCCCCTATAAAGATGCGTTGCTCACCCGGTCCCACAGGTTTAAAGTTGTGGAAGCCATCCTTAGTGTTTGACATGTGGGTTGTCGCTCCCGAGTTAAGACACCAAGATGTGCTCTTGGGGTCGGCTAGTATAGTCTCAAACGTAACACAAGCATATTTCTTCTTTCCCCAGGGTTCCTATTGAACCTACAATCCTTGGCAATATGCCTAACCTTTTTACATATGTAGCATTGCCTATTTTCTCTCTTTCCCTTTAAATTATTTTGATGTCTCTCTCTCCCTTTTTCTTTTCCTCACCCCTCTTCTTGTTATTGAATTTACCCTTCCCCATATTAGTCTTCAAATAAGGTTTAGAATTTACCATATGCACCGCATCTTTGGGTGTCGGTGCATTGCGAGCATTCCTCCTCTCCTCCTCGGCTTTGGGCAAGGTCATGAGCTCTTCTAGCCTAGGAGCAGACTCCCTAGCAGCAAGGGAAGATACAAATACCTCCCAAGAAGTGGGGAGAGTATTCAACAAGTGAACCACTTGCATGAGTTCACCGGGCTGCATCTCGATCGCCTCCAATTCTCGAACTAGCACTCTGAACATGTGCACGTGATTGGCTATCTTTCCACCATCAGCCACTTTCAGATCATTATACTTTTTCTTGGCCATGTTCTTCCTCATGATAGAAGGATCAACAAATTCCTTCTTGAGACGATCATGCATCCCCTTAGTAGTTTTGATCGGCTCATACTTGGATGCATACGAGTCATGCATAGCCACGAGCAAGATATGCCTTGCGAGCATGTTCTTTCGCTCCCACTCGGCACATGCATCTCTCATAGCCTGAGATGCATTTCCTCCAGGCTGAGACAGTGGATTCTCAATGAGGATATTATGCAAACCCTCCTCATAGAGCACATAGCCTATCTTGTGCTTCCATGAGGCATAGTTTGCGCTATCAAACCTTTCAGTCTTCAAAATTTCAGCAATAAAACTCCTTGCAGCCATGTATTCTTGACCCAAATAATAAAAAGACTGAAATAGCAAAAATAAAACAAACCAATGGCAGCAAGAAACCCAAGCTTTGATATCAATGAAAGTTGGATAGGGTGAACTAGCATTGTGTGTGCAGTTTAAAATTTTTCTTTTTTCAACCGGCTAGAACACTTACAAAGGTCCAAAGATTACAAAATAAATTCTAAAGAAACAAAAAGAAACACAAAATGGATTCTCACTTGCTGCTACTTAATACAACTCTTTATTTCCAGAATAAAAATTACATAACATTGACTTGGGAACAAGAAACATAAAGTTGCATAAACAAAAATTAAAGTGCCAAAAGATTACCTCAATTGGAGGTGATACATGCTACTAGGGTCACCTCCTCCAATGGTGCACGGGATCAAGGTCCTCCTTAGATCTCACAACTATGGGAAACGTTGGCTAGAAACCCTTCAATGGTGGAACAAAACTAAGCCTCAAACTTTGTGCATGAGGCGTGCCCCTCTAGGCTCTATGGTTGGGGCGTTCCCCTCTTTTCTTTCTCTAAACTTTTCTAAGTCTTGTGGGCAGGCTAGGGAGATGAAAGAGATCAATGACAGAGAGTGGTGTGAGGCTCTTTTAAAGAGAGAGAGAGAGAGAGAGAGAGAGAGAGAGAGAGATGTAACTTAGGTGAGAGCTTTGGGTCCCCACAATGAGAGTATATATAAACTTGTGGTTAGGGTTAGGAATTCTAGGGTTAGCCATCCTTATGGAGATTTGATCTTGACCATTGACCATAAGAAACATGTGGGGTGAGAGATCTTAGCCTTATAATCTATAGATCAACCATCGTGATCTAATAGAAGGTGTTAAAGCCTTATCCTTTCGCTTCCTTAACCTAATCCTATAAAAAATCTACCACATGGAAACTATATTTCTCTTTCCTTTTTGTTTTTATTCATTATCTACACATGCCTCTTTTAAAAGTCAAATATCTTTTATTTCAAAATCTTTCCTATTCCAATGCAATCAATTCAATTGCATCTTGCATGCCTCAATAAAATAGGAAGGAATTGCACAAAGTGGGGCGTGCCACCAATGGGGCCTATAGTGGGCCCCATGCGCTCTCCACATGCTCTAATTTGGTGGGGCCCATGGAGTATAATGGGCCCCTGGAGTATAATGGGACCCAAGAGTATTAATAATTTTAAAATTGATAAAACGATCTTAGAAAATATTTACTATTTTAATTTTCTCTCTGAATATTTAAATATTGAAATTTTAGTTTAAGCCTCTATATAAATATGTTTTGAGAAAGTAAAATATCCAGAGACTTTTAATAATTTATTTTATCAATCTAAAAATCATTTATAGTCAAATTAATTATTTCTAAATTAATTTGATGGGATTTGGATCCAATTATGTTATGAAAAATGCGAAAATACTGACGCACTTCATCTTCTACTAAAGACCATGAACCACACTCACTTTCTCAAACTGACCCAGTAGTTCCCATGACCCACAGTCTATCACAGGGGTTCATGATTGGGCTATCAAAGTCAACCAATAGGTGATGAGACATAATCCTAGTCTATGGATTACAGGTTCCCCTTAGGGACAAACCTAGGTCACACTGAGCTGTGCACACATATTGCAATTGGTGCATGGGGTAATCTCTCGCACATGTACATGCAACACCCTCAATGGTGCTTTGCTTCCCTTTACGGCTATCACGTGTATATGCTGTGTGATGGTTTATAATGAGGTTTTGGCCCTTGTCCCTTCAGGCTTACCAATCACACACAAGGGTCACACAGTCCCTTGGCAAACTACCCTGAGCATCTCCGACCTCATCAAGGGGTAACCTTGGTAGCCCTTCTCAGTTGTGCTCTATGCCCAGGGATCTTAAGGTTTTAATACTTAAGTGGCCTAGCTCGTCAAGCCTAGTTTGAGTCTCGGCATCAATATTGCCAACCTCGGTCCCTCTGGAATATGCTCCCATTGGAGATCATTGTTCCACTATAGTAAAATTGGTTACATGCTCTCGTAAGGCCTTTAAATGGCCACACAAACCCTATAGACCGGAAGAGAACAATTAATTTCATCGAAAAGTATCAAACCCTCATAGTGGAAGGACTATAGGAATGTAATATGATGGGAAAATGGACACACCTGACCCCCATGGAGATTAGCCCATTATTATGACCACATTTTTGCACTTTGTAGGGGAACTTGGATGACCTTCAACCATATTCTCATGGAGGCCAACACAGTTGCTGATCATCTCGCTAAAGGAGCAGCAACACCAATTGCAAGCAACGACCTAAAACATATGTCACCAATGCCAACAATAGAAGCAGCATCCTAAAACATATCTCCCATTTCTTCCTCTCATCACCCCTCAACTCTTCTTCACTCACTCTTTTTCTCTCTTTCTTCCTTTTATCACCTCTCATTTCTTTCTTCTTCTCTTCCCTCTCTACTCTGTCATCTCTTTTTTATCTCTCTCTTAACCATCTTACCACCTCTCATCACCCTTTTCTCTTTCTTCCCTCTCTTCTTCTTCCTCTCTCGAACCCTATCTTGTCATACAATTTTTGTAATATCCTACTTCTTTTTCGTCTTCTTCCTTTCATAACCCAATTTTTTAATAGAGCACCCGTCTCTTGTGGAATGCCTTAAGGATCCTTTTTGTAATATATCTATATCTATTACAAAATCATTGCCTCCTGGGGCCAAGCATTTAACCAATCCCATTGCATTTATTGCAAGGAAGATATAATACCCCTATTGAATCAATCATCGATCTATACCCCCAAAATAACTACCTAATTAACCCATGTGCTAGCCAACCACACAACCCAATCAAGGTAAACCAGCCTATACCACCCCTTCCCTTTCTATACCAGTACTATGTAAATTGGATCAGATAAACACTTAACATCCAACCTCCTGCTATAACTTCTCCCCCGGAAACCCACATTATACATACCCCAATCAAATCCTCCAACCTTTGCCCATTCCTCAAAGTAATCCACCTAGCGCCCACAACCCTAACCAGTGGGTACTCGATGGAGATTTAATCACAGAGAGGCCAACAACTCTACAGTGCTTGCTACTGGTTGTTTTCCACTCACAATGGGATGACATCATGGGCATTGAGAGGTGGAGCAAAGAGTTCGCGCATGAGTCAAACCTAGGATGCTAAAAACTTATGGAGGGGACCTTTGTAAAGGCAGCTGTGGCTTCTAAAAGCCCCCTCTTCATACGAGCATTGTTGACCTTGTGCCCCTATTCTACAAAGATCGAAGTAATTTTAAAAAAAAGGGTCATGGATCATTGCTTCGAACATTCCTCTGCATGTCGGCGATTTTCAAGCAAATTGGTGACAAGTGTGGGAGCTTCATATCAATCCTCTGGAGATCTATAGACTATCTTCCCTTGGGAGCAATCTAGATTCTAGTAGAAACACTGTATCCAATCTCAATTCCAAACAAGCTATGGGTCACAATTGGTGGCCATACCTACTATATATGCATTGTTCAAGAGAATGCTGTAGTGAGTAACCCACCTTGCACAAGGTGGACCATTGATGAGGTGACTAGGATGCACAAGATGGATGATAGACATAATAGGAGGTCGCCTTACGCTGTAGATTGCCACATTGCAATGACCGAGATCATCAAGGCCCAAAGTATTCATGGGTTAGTAAATCTAGGGAAACAAAGATCCACCTTTGATCCTTGATAGTCAGCATCCCAACGCTACCACAGACCCTAGCTTCTCCCACCAACCCCAACTGCCCATCCCTCAACCCATGCAACAAAATTCTCCGACACATGGTGATTACCCCCTTGAGAGCTTCCCATTGCTAACAACTTTCAGTCTGAGTTGTACATTTGCCACTTGCCTTTACAATTGTCCACCTCAACCTAGAGGCCCCCCATTTTAAATTTCAATAGGGATAATCTTAAAGCATCCATCCCTTCATCCTAAATTGTTAATGAAAGATTGTTTTTTATTCTTGGCTTGTATTTATTCATTTTGGCAGTAAAAGGAAAGGTCTTAGGTTGTATTTAGGGTTTTAATTTTCGTTTACAACAGTATTTTGTGGCACTTGTCAGTAGAACTTATATTCATTAATAAAGAAAACAAGAATTTTTTTTTATTGTATGGACTTAAATCCCTCATTTCCACATCTTTTTACTTTGTTGTTTCTGTCATCCAAAAAGTTTTTGATGTTAATGACTCTTTCATTTGAACTGTTTTATGTAGGGAAATAGTATTTGGGGTTACACATTTGCATCGACTCGGTATTGTACATCGTGATCTGAAGCCTCAAAATGTTTTGATATGCAATGAAGATGATACCTTTCATGCTAAAGTCTCTGATATGGGGATAAGCAGACGTCTTCCTAGAGGACGGTCCTCTTTTGGTTTGCATGCTACAGGTAGGGATTCATTTTTAAACATAGTTATAACCTGATTTGCAAGAGAAAGTATACAATATTTTCCTTATAAACGCTTTCTAATTTGTTTCATTACCTGAATGTTAATGATATCCAAAGACAAATTGCACGTTTATTTTGGTAATCATCGATTTAATTTACTAGTTGCATTATGGGAGTTGTTTGAATGTAAATGAGTCTGACACAGCTGAAAATTTCCAGGCAGCTAACAACTGGCAAATACAATGGTGTTTTAGAGATAGAAACAAAAACTAAGAAGAAAATCGCAAGAAGAAAGCACAAACTTGGGGATCCGATGCCTTTTCAAAAGATTTCCTATTATCTCATGTCCCTAGCTAAGGATAAGATATAAGTTTCCTTGAATTGACGGACTCTCATACTAAAAAATAAATAAGCCTCTTATCAACAAGCCTTCCTAAAACAACTCAACAAAAAATAGAATCATAAAAAACAGGCTTGTCAACTAGCCCAAAGAACACATACTAATCCTATTTCCAACAATTTGTTCTTCACCCAAAGAAAGTAAGATGACACCAAATTGATGCAGGAAAATTTGAGAAAACAGTAATCGGCAAGAAACATGCTTATGCTTGTTTCTTCTCCAAAACCCAAGCTACAGCTGCAAAAGCCTGAGCTTTTCTTTGTTCTCAATTTTGAAAAATCACACAGTCTCCGGACACCGCTGAAAATTTATCGGCAGCCAACAACCGGCATAAACAGTGGCGTTTAAGAGATTGAAACAAAAATTGAGAAGAAAATTTCAAGAAGAAAGCACAAACGTGGGGATCCGAGACCTCCTCATGTACCATCAAAAGAAAAAACAAAGAGATGAGGCTCTTCCTCTCTCAAAATTAGAACTTTATTTCATTAAAAAACCCAAAACCACCTCTTTACAATTGACATGCTCCCTTTTAAAGGAGTTCGCTTTCAAAAACCTAAAGATAACTATTAAAAGACTATTTACTTTTTCCATAACTAATGCATCTCCTATCCTCGTCACTTTCCAAGAAATGGGCCTTTCCTTACTATAACTAAAAGATAACTACCTTGTTTAAAGATTTCCTTTTATCTCACATCCTTATCCAAGGATAAGAGATAAGCTTCCTTCAAATGACAGACTTTCATTCTAACAGATAAATAAGCCTTCCTAAAACAACTCATAACAAAAAATTAACTTATAAAAAACAACTTATCAAACTAACTCAAAAAACACAGACTAATCCTATTTCTAACAATTAACTCTAAAAAGAATATAAAGTCTAACCACATCTCTAAACATAGAATTAAAATTTTGAATCAACCAACTCTTGATCTGCATCATTCTCCTTTGGGGTCAGAAAACTCGCTCTCGAGTTTTGAAATGAGTTAAGATGAAGTCTGTGTTAGCCTTGCAACCTTCTTCAACTTGAATATTGTAAATGCGATCCTGGGACTTGTGGATTACTACACTATTCAAGACACAATGATTATGCATTGAAACTGAGAAACCCTTGAAGAAAGGGTCATTATATGTCGATATTATATGTTTATGCTCAACCACAAAATATACCAAGGGGGCTTCTTCGATATGTGAACTTTCAAGGGGGCATCTTCGATATGGGAACTGTCAATAAAGGAACCAACTTTACCTATTGATTCTCCTTTGAGTCTATCATCTTTTTCTTCCTCAAATATCTCCATAGGCTCGAGCTCCTCTGGGTTCAAGTCAATACCTTACTTTTTCATCTCTCCATTGATGAGGAAATTAGATATCCAGGCTGCCTCAAGGCCAACTTCTTTCCTTTCATCTTGTTCTTCATCAAATATAGGACCTTCATAAAAAATGGGGTCACCCATGACATTAACAATTGATGAATCCAATTGAAGATCCAAACCTACTTGTTCTTCCCCCTCAACTGGTTCTTCATCAAATTTTGGTAGATCATTCTCCCCACCATAAGGCTCCCAACGCAGAGCGTGCGCATAGAACAAGCTCTCGAAAGCAGCTTCGGACTCACTTTCGTCATCACAGTGTGTCGGGGCTAGGTTTTGCGGCAAGCGTTGGATTAACTCATCAATTTGCCTTCTTAAATTTTCTATATCTATATATTGAGGTCTCGCTCTTGCTAGATCGACTCATTCTCGGTACCCGGCTATCGACCACGTCTACGAGCCATGATGTTTTATCAATAAATACCACAATCCCACAAGAACTGATGCTCTAATACCATCTGACGTAGCTGAAAATTTATTGGTAGCCAATAACCAACGAATAAAATGGCATTTTATAGATAGAAACAAAAATTGAGAAGAAAATCGCAAGAAGAAAGTTCAAACGTGGGAATTTGAGACATCCGCATGTATGATAAAAAAAAAAACCAAAGAGACGAAGCTCTTCCTCTCTTTAAGTTAAAACTTTATTTCATTAAAAAAACAAACACCCGCTCATTACAATTGACGTGCTCCCTTTTAATGGGGTTTACTTTCAAAAACCTAAAAATAACTACTAAAAGACTATTTACCTATTTTCACAACTAATGCAACTTCTATCCATCTCACGTTTCAAAAAAAGGGTCTTTCCTTACTATAACTAAAAGATAACTACCTTTTCAAAAGATTTGATTTTATCTCACGTCCCTAGCCTAGGATAAGAGATAAGCTTCCTTCAATTGACAGACTCTCATTCGAAAAGATAAATAAGCCTCTAATCAGTAAGCCTTCCGAAAACAACTAAAACATGACTCATAAAAAACATACCCATCAAACTAATCCAAAGAACACAAACTAATCCTATTTCTAACAATTAACTCTAAAAACAATGAAATGTCTACCCACATCTCTATAAATAAAATTAAAAAAATAAAAGTAAAAATTTCAACCAACTAATTCTTGATCTGCATCAGATTTGAATCATCATCATTCTTGATTTTCTAAGATGTTTTCTGTTGCTGAAAAACAGCAGCAGATTTATGCCATTTCCATACATTTTGGTCTTGAATTTCTAAACAAATTTGATCATTTCTATTAGGGCTTATCTCTTCAATAGTGGCTTCTAAGCAGTGTTTATTTTTGGGACTCTTTACTGCTTCCTCATGTGTAGAAGGCTCATAGTTAAGATCTTCATCAATTGTGTTGATCTTCTTTTATCCTCGTAGTTCTTCTCGGAATATTTGTTTGTATTGAAGAATAAAAAACCTTGACCATGTGGACAATAACCTATGAAGGCACGCTTGATTGTTTTAGGATCTGACCTGGTTCTATTTTGAGATGGGATCAAAACATGAGCACTACAACCCCATATTTTCAAGTGACTAAGTTTAGGAACATGGCACGTGAACATTTGGTGAGGGGTAGATGAGGCCGCTCTAGTGGGACTCCTATTAAGGATACTGTGCCTCAAGTGCCATAGCGTAAGATATCCTTTTTAATTACAAGGTACAAGCAACTGGGATCTTTACTCCTTGGATGATGTAGAGCTCATTTATAAGTTTTTCGGTCATAATGGTTTGGCCGTCCACCCTATCCTTAATTTCAATAATATTGCCGACAAAAGTCGTAGAGCATCCAGCTAAGGCTTATTTGGGGACTGAAATCAAGCTTTTCCTCAACCCTATCCTTAATTTCAATAATAAAAGTGGTAGAGCATCCAGCTAAGGCCAATTTGGGGACTGAAATCAAGCTTTTCCTCATTTGAGGAGCATAGAGGGTTTGCTTTGAGTTCATGGACTGCCCATTGTCCATGTCAAGCACGTAGTTTCCGATACCAAGGGCTTCGGTCCTTTGGTTAGCCACCATAGAGACATATTTCTATCTGATCTTAATCTCACTAAGAGAACGATATCCCTCTAAGTGTGAGTGATGTGAGCCACAGATCCCAAATCAAAACACCATGCAGTCCTCTTGGACCAACCATGAGCGGTTTGTACACCATACCTGCATGCTTTTTTTTCTTCACTGGATTCCCCATTTGAATTCCCATTAGCCCCATCGGTCTTATAGGCTTTTACCCACAAAATCTAGCTATTGGGCCCATCTTGTTACAATTGGAGCACTTCACATTTTTTAGACCCTTTTACCATAGCCTTTGTTAGGTCCCATATGGAAATTCTTTTTCTTATTTGTGCCCTTAGTTTGCCCCTCTGTGTTTTGGTTATTATTATTTGCCCTTTCTTTCCCTTACCCTTACCCTTTGTGACGACCCAAAATTTTTGAAACTGAAAAATAATGTTAATAGAAATAAATACAATAAAAATAAATTAATAGATAAATAAATAAATAAAATAAAATACATATATATTTAGAGCGATAGCTCATGGTGTCGAAATAGACCATAACGACTATCTTTTCTCCTACACAAATTTACCCCTCCATTCGAACATGAACCTAGACTTTCTTGAAATATTTGTTTGACACCTGCTCCTCCATCCATGATTGTTCAAATAAACTCTTTTCTCAAATGGTGCTGGTCCATTTTGTTACTAAGAACCTTTGGCCCATCAACTCTTGTAAAAGTTTATTATTAATGATTTATCATAATTGAATGTAAACCTTCCAAAACATTTTCTTGCAGGCATGCATGTGGTGCATGGTAAGTATGACGTGCCTCCACAAAATGTTACAATAACTGTCATCTTGGGTGGCACCTCTCTCTCTCTCTCTCTCTCTCTTGCCAACAACACGAAGCCTTTGTTAATCCCCTCACTCTCTCTAAGACCATCAACACGTAGTCCCCTTGATGTCAGCGTTTAATAGTCACCAGAGGAAATTCGAAACCCTAATTCGAGTTCAAGCCCACTTCGCAAGTCCTCAGCCCTTTGTCCTCCTCTTGACAACACTATGGATCTCTATCTCTGCAACCTACGAGTCTAATTACTAGTGGGCCTATCTCATCAAGGCCCCTTAATGGGTCCCGAAGGCCCAAGACAGACCCCATTGAGCCCAATATGGTTACTGGGTATGGGGCGTCAATCATGAGCCTCGATGCCAGGAATGGGGGTTTAGGG